ATCAAACGAATGGACAAAAACTGTCATATTCCTAACTTGGTACAGGCATTTTAAAATGTAGAAAATGGTGGATTGTACCTGGTTTCATAGCTCTAAACTCCTCACTTGTATGACAGTCGCATCAAATTCCATTATATTTACAACGATGCGTAAACAAAACAGACATAATAGGTAACATTGTCAAAATATGGGTACAGCAGTCATCTCTGTGTCACAATCTCAAAACAAACAAACATTTAACAAAAAGCACAAAAAACATCTATCAAAATTAACAACCACATTCATTGCTTACTTATATATGTATTTTAAATCAACCCATAAAGGATTGAAATATTTAAAGTCCTGTGACTGCATTCATATCTACTCTTAGTGTAGAGTCGCGTGTTTGACGCCAGATTTAAGAATCCACATATGGTTAATACCACTACGCTAGTAAAATAATTTTGTCGTTCAAAGTATTTTCAAAATTATAATAGAACAATAACATAATGGTATTTAATAGAAAAATAACAAAATGGTGGGATCTTTAAAAGTACAGAGCCACGTCATATGTACCAAAGAAACACATAAAGTCACACGTACAAAACACACCAGCAAAAATGAAAGATAATGCAAACACATTGACGGGATGTATAAGTACCGAGCCACGTCAAATGGATATCACAGAAAACAGACCAAACAGTGAAAGTATTATTAATAATAGAACAAACACAAATAAAAGAACAATTTAACACGTTATTAAGATGATAAACAACGCAGAATCTGTACATCAAGACCATCATTTATTATTTGTGAAGTTGATACGGAATATTTATCAACAAGGTCTTGGTACCTTCCGATGAACTTTTTGAAAAAAAGGACGAAACGTTCTTTGACATACCCCTGGTTCAATCAACTTTCTGCTAAGACACTAGTGACGTTTTACAAAGTCTGAGTAGGAGCTGCAAGCTCTTGAATATCGAATAAGTTGGGAAATGTATATCCCATATGCAGGTGAAGTTGGTATATTGCTACTAAGGTGGGGGAAATTGATAAATTATTTACATCTATTTTATCAGCAATCAAACCCGGGCTTCAAAGATATTGTGAAACTGCCTATTCTAGAGGTGGTGTGAATCAGATGTGGATACTAAAAAAATCTAAAGATCTTTTAGAGTACATACAATCTAAGACTCTTTCATCTTGCAATAGTATTAAAACATTTGACTTTTCTACACTTTACACAAGGTTTCCACATTCCAAACTAAAAGACAAATTGAAAGAGTTGGTATTGCTTTGTTTCATAGAGAAGAATGGCCAACGTAGATACAAGTATCTTGTCTTAGGGAGGGATAAATCCTACTTTATAAAAAAAAATCATTCTGATTCAAACAAAAAATTCTCTGAAACTGACATTATAAAGATGCTTGATTTCTTGATTGACAACATATTTGTTACGTTTAGAGGACGTGTTTTTCAACAAACTATCGGCATTTCCATGGGAACCAATTGTGCCCCTCTTCTTGCCGACTTGTTCCTTTATTCATATGAGGCTGACTTCATACAGGAACTTCTTAGGAAGAAAGAAAAGAAGCTAGCAATATCCTTTAACTTTACTTTCCGCTATATAGATGATGTTCTCTACCTAAGTAATTCAAAATTTGGTGACTATGTTGAACGCATCTATCACATCGAACTAGAGATAAATAAAGACAACAGTAGTATACCGCTGTTAAAAAAAAGTCATAAATCGATGGAGAGAAAACAAATCCGGGTTACAAACTAAAACCGAGGGAAACACATCTCTATAAATAAAGGCAACAGTAGTATACCGCTGTTCGAAATTCATAAATCGATTGAGAAAAAAACAAATCCGGGTTACAAACTAAAACTGAGGGAAACACATCAAATATAAGAAGAGAACTACGACACAACAGAAACACAAAATTAAAATGTAAAACACACAGAAACGAACTATTATATAACAATGGCCATTTTCCTGACTTGGTACAGGACATTTTAAGACAAAAATGGTGAGTTGAACCTGGTTTTGTCGCTAGCCAAATCTCCGCGCTTTATGGCAATGTTAAATAAACCGCTGAAATGACAACATTACATGACGGGAACAGAGTAAAAATAAATTCAAAAACACCAAAGACAGAGAAATACATAAATAAATAATATAATAGTACATTTCGACATGTTAACCACAGAATAACAACGAATAACTAAAATAATTTAGGACAGTACACAAAAACAGCTTAATAGAATTACGAAGTGTGTGTCTGTAACACGAATGGATCAATGCCACAAAAAGTAACGTCACAGGTAAATTTCTAAAAATAGGATATAAATCAAGATTAGGTTTCTGAAAACAACAGAAACACTGAAGTGCAACAAAAAACATATAAAGATTAAAGAAACAACAGATACAGTTAAATCTGCCTCATATCTTGACTTCCATCTAGAAATTGACAATAAGGACAAAACTTTACGACAAAAGAGATGATTTCAGTCACCCAATTGTGAACTTTTCATTTCTATGTAGCAATATTCCAGCAGCGCCTGCATACGGAGTATATATCTCCCAATTGATACGATATTTCCGGGCTTGTATTTCCTATCATGATTTCCTTGATAGAGGTTTGCTGCTCAAAAGGAAGCTATTAAACCAAGAGTTCCAAATTGTGAAGTTGAAATCATCCCTTCGTAAATTTTACGGACGCCATCACGAGTTGGTTGACCGTTATGGAATATCCGTTTCACAGATGATATCGGATATATTCCTTATGTCGTAACTACAACCTCATTCACTTTTCACGAATGTGACCTACCGAATTAGACTATTTACCGGGTTTGTAATAACATGAGCAACCCGACGGGTGCCACATGTGGAGCAGGATCTGCTTACCCTTCCGGAGCACCAGAGATCACCCCCAGTTTTTGGTGGGGTTCGTGTTGCTTAGTCTTTAGTTTTCTATGTTGTGTCTTGTGTTCTATTATTTGTCTGTTTGTCTTTTTCTTTTTTAGCCATGGCGTTGTCAGTTTATTTTCGATCTATGAGTTTGAATACCCTCTGGTATCTTTCGCCCCCTTGCAATGTCCTCATCATACATTAAACAATTCACCCTTTGCTTATTAACACTGACATGGTAAGCACAAGAAGAGAAAATATCCGGGAAATCATTGATAAAAAGTTTGAAAAAGTTGAGGCTTAAAAGATCCCTTTGCCACACTCCAAGAAATGATCTAAAAAAAGGAGTTGATTGGTTGCCAACTTTTATTTTTACACATACCTTACTTTTATTATACTTATCTTTAGTTATAGCATAAAAATGTCCTGCTATGTTGTGTTGAAGTAGTTTATTTTGTATACCTGTATTAATAACATAATCAAATGTTTTTTCTGAGATCTACAAAGCATTGCAAATATTTTACCATTTTTTGTTATTAATGCACTTGTCAATTTATGTCTTTAGAACAAAATGTGATCGGATGTTCTTGTCATTTCAATTTGACATTTACTTATGATATCATTTCGATTACTTTAGCTGTATTTGGCAAGACTTTTACGAATTTTTGGTCCTCAATGCTCTTCAACTTCGTACTTTATTTGGCCTTTTTAACTTTGATTCGAGCGTCACTGATGAGTCTTTTGTAGACGAAACGCGCGTCTGACGCAAATACAAAATTTCAATACTGGTATCTATGATGATTTTATTTCCTTCAAGAAAGAGGTCTAGTCTATTATGTATAACGCAATTATATAATTTACCGATGCAGAAGTTAATAGAAAAAAAATTCTGGGTTGAATACGATGCACATAATGCTGTTTAGCAATTTTTCATTTTTTAGAAGAGCATTTCTTGCTTGCCACTGTGAAAATTTCATTTTCAGTGGAATATGTTTCACGGTTTGTCAAACAGTTGAATTCAATTAAACAGATTATGACTTCGCTCATGTTACCCGCGTTAGTTGCAACAAAAGGAATGATAAGAAAAGTGGCTAAATTGGTACTTGAACAGCGGCACCTTATAAAATTGGAATATTAACTTGACGGACTCAGGGTCTCAAAAGACAAAAAAATTATAAATTCATTTACATTATTTACTTAATCGAAACATTAGGATAATTTCTGGTTGGACTTGTTACTTTTTTGTGCCCATGAAAGGATGAAAGTGATAAAAACCCTGAACAGAACAATACCGATAAATAAATGATATATAAACACATCAGGCATTAAATAAAATGAAAATCAATACCGAGAACGTAAGAAATTCATAAAAAAGTAAAATAACAAAAATACCGAACTCTAATTGACAACATGACGTTACGTACAATGTATATTGACTTGGATGGAGAGTTGTCTCATTGGCACTCATACCACATCTTCTTATATCTATATAACAAATATGACGATATGACGAGTTTTCGACAGAGAGTTAGGATTGCGTCTCTGCTAGCTAGCGCTGGTGACCATGTATTTGTTTTTTTATGTCATTCGATCTGTTAGAAAAAAAGGAAGGAATATGCCACACGATTTATGAGGAAACCTAAAGTGCAGAGGAAAAATAAAGATTTTGCCTATATATTCAATGAATCTTAATACCCTCTACGTTCACTTAGGCTTTTTTTCGAAAACAAAGTCGGTGACATATTGTTTTTTATTCCACATTTTTCGATATATATAATCAATATCAATCGAGTTCTGAATTTAAAAAAAAATCTATGGAGTGGTCATTTACTGATCTCTGACCTCGTGCAATTTAAAACGTAATATGCAAAAATGTACAATACCTGAAATGCAAACAATTATAATAAATACAAAATACATGCATACATAGATACAATCGACAAACAACACAACATTTGATTTATTTTACATTAGTATCTCGAACTGTTTTGAAATTCACAACTAATTTGTACAAAATTAAACAACGACGAATATACTCCTTTTTTAATATCCGGCTAAGCACACAACCATATCATATTCGATGGATAGGTAGTTTTTGGTATTTAAACTATTTGACTAACACACTAAAGCTACACATAATACATTTTTTTTAATGCTAAATAATATTACACAAATAACAAATACACTTGGTTGTAAAATTTAATTGTTGACAGCAGCGTTTAACGATACAGAAGTTACTGATCAATACCATAGCATGTTAAACTGAACGATATGTATTGCTATTGTAATCGGTTTACGTAGAGATGAAGGTAGGTTTCTATTTAAAATTTGTATTTTCATTGATACATTTCTATGAGAGATTTTCTGACTTTGATGTTTTGATAATTCGTATGATTTAAATAATCATAAGATTGTCAGGTAAGATTTTAACTGACATGTAATTTCAGGTGCACCAGCGGGCGGGTTTTAATGATATTGCAATTTACCTTTTCTGAGAAGCACATATGTATTCTATTAATAGGCAGACTTTTTCTTAAAGAAAAGTATATTTTAATATTCAGATTTAGATGTACATTTGAAAAACTAAAATTTTTTTTCATGACCTGCTTTGTTAAAAGACTGATCATTGACGAATTCAAGAAATATGTATGATTAGTTTAACTATGGATATTTTATCACTTATGTCCTATATTTTTACCCAGCTGATATACAAATAAAGTAATTGACTACATTCGACAAAAAAGGAATGTACATATTTACACATAACACCTATATTTGATTAAACAAACGCCATTTTGACAGTGCTATTTTAAAGTATTCACTTTTTAGTTTAGCTCACCATTTTCTACATAAGGAAATGCCTGTACCTGTACCAAGCCAAGAATATAACAGTTGTTTTCCATTCGTTTCATGTGCTCGAGCTTTTGATTTTGCAATTTGATAAGGGACTTTCCGTTTTCGATTTTTTCATTAGAGCTGGGTATTTTTGTTACTTCACCTTTTAGAGTTCGATTAATAGAAAAAAAATAGTTTGTAATCTTTGTTACTCTATGCACAACTTGAAAACGATTTAAATCTTGAGAATAGATACAACATTATATGTCCATCAGGAATATGTTGACCGACACATTACTAGTATGTCGGTGTCTCAACTCACTAGCGAAACGCTTTGGAGGTCTGAGATAATTATTAGATACCAGTATACATCTGTATTTTACCGATTGTGTCTTAGTTCTGATTTTAATTTTTTTTAATGAGTTTGAACTCGTATGAAAGGTGATGCGTTCATAGCAGGAGACGCTGTTCCTGTCGATGCACTCTAGGAGTTCATACGCTTCCCACAGTTTTTGTTTTACCTTGATTTGACCCTTTCTTATGAACTAAACTAAAACTTGAACTACGATACACTACTGACGAAAGAAATAATAAAAAAAAAACAAAGGTCGAAGAAAAGCAAGCATTCTATATTGACAGAATCACGATTATAACCTCAAAATGTCATTTTTCTTATTTGAGGGTGTCAGAGTGTTAGGTGCTGGTCTTTCGTCCGTCCTCAATGCTCTTCAGCTTTGTACTTGTTTTGGCTTTCTAACTATTTTGATCTGAGCGTCACTGATGAGTCTTATGTAGACGAAACGCGCGTCTTGCGTAACAAATTATAAGCCTGGTACCTTTGATAACTATTTACACCACTGGGTCAATGCCAATGCTGGTGGACGTTTCGTCTCCGAGGGTATCACCAGCCCAGTATTCAGCACTTCGGTGTTGACATGAATAGCAATTACTAAGTATATGGTCATTTTTATAAATTTACTGTTTGCAAAAGTATGAATTATTCGAAAATCTTAGGATTTTCTTATCCCAGGCATAGATTACCTAAGCCGTATTTGGCACAACTTTTTGGAATTTAGGGACCTCAATGCTCTTCAACTTTGTACTTGTTTTGGCTTTTAACTATTTTGATCTGAGCGTCACTGATGAGTCTTATGTAGAAGAAACGCGCGTCTCGCGTATCAAATTATAAGCCTGGTACCTTTGATAACTACTTATCCAACGTCGTCTTTTTTGAATATTAAATAAATACAAACTTTAACGTCAGAATCACGATATTCGACTTATTATACAGTAAATTCTATAGAATATGCTACATGATATACCGTCATTATTCAATTTGACGAAAATTAACTATGGAACTCGAAAGTATCAAAAGTGCTTATATGATATGTTTCCCAAATGTAAGGATTTTGTTTTGTTTCAAAAATTTTGAATATTTATAGAGGACTATGTTGTATCAATTTTTAAGAACTTGTTACATAAGTATAAATTGTAAGCAGGCAGTTACTAATTACAATGAATATTTTTTTTATTAGAATGAGACAAACACATAACTATTTGTAACAGATATGTTAATGTCATTACATAGTGAGTTGTGAATTTTCAGTCATTAGTAAAAACCAGAGAAGGGTGTACATCGATTATATTAAATAAAAACTCTTCTGTTGCAGGAGGACATGAATAAACAAAAGCTGAATAATGAAAACGTTATTTATGACATGGTTTATTAAGGTTGGTACCCCTGATATTTTTATACATATCTCTTTTATGAAAGTATGTTATACTGTCTTGATTGTCTCATGTTAGCTCTGTAGTTTGAGGATTTGTTTATAAGAGGGGTCAATGGTTTTCTCTCACAAAATAATCATCATTTCAATGTGTGCTTACATATAATATATCCTAGTAAACTTGATGTTAATGATACTACAAAAGATGACGGTTAGCGTCATACCATGATCATTTCCCCGATATTGTCACAGATGGACAACTTCAAACAAGAGCATATGACATACATACGATATGATTTTAACTTTCCAAATATCAACTTTACAATTCGCAGAAGTGACTTACCCTCTGCTCCACTTTTTGGCTTTTCGATATCTAAGATAAAACGTCACGCTCGTTCTTGTTAAGAGTTTACGGACTTCATTAACAGAGGTGTTCTCCTTACACAAAAACTGCTACAGATTTATCAAGAAGAACGACTTACATCGACACTAGCCGGCGTTCATCATCACAAATTGTTTTGACGGATATGATGTGTCGGTGTCTCAACCCACTAGCGATATGCTGTCGCGGACTCTGATCCTTAGATATCAGTAAAGTTGTCCGGTCTTTAATCTTATTCTCGGTTGTTCCATTTTGACTGATTATGTATTCGCTTGGCAAATGAAGCATGCACAACAGGAAACGCTTACCCTGTGGTCGTCACCCGCTTTCGTCCCTTTTCGAGTTCATGCAAGTTCAGTTTTGTGTGTATTACCTTGATTTGTCCCTTCCTGATCGATTTACTGATTTACTGCTGTCACCTGCTTCATTTTTCAGTGTAAGCAACTATCAGTTGACTTGCGGTCAGAAAATTGTCCCTGGGTAGGGTTTTAACAAATTACATATATTACTCACCGTGTACCTTCAAACAAGTATATATGTACCGATTGTCAGCTTTTCTGTACTGCTTTTACATGTTGTGATACTATGCAATAGCAGTTACGAGTGATACTATGATGATTTTGTCGAATGAAAACAGCATGCAAGTTCACAAAGTTATGGTGTGTCGAGAACGATCATTCACGATAAAAACATAATGAAATTCTGATAATTGATCTCTCAGATCAAATTTATGTATGTTTTCTTGAAAATTCATCTGTGTCAGGTACATCAAACCAACAATGCATAATAAGTTAGTGTTATAACGAATACCACATAGGGATGAAACTATTTACAATCGTTTTACTATATCGGGCAGTTGTTATCAACTAGATAGTGCAATAAAGAATTCATTAATGTTAAAAAAATATATGACGTTTGGGGAAGTCTTTGTCAGGCATAGCTGACGTCACACTGCCATGGTTCAGAATTTTATCATATTGATACAGACACAATTTATAATTTGCAATCATACCATATATCCTTATTTTCATACTGGTAAATGAAATACTTGTGGAATTGTCATAAAATACATTATAGAATGGTATGTAAGCAAAAATCAATTATCAGAACACACAAGACAAATCAAAATCGAAATAAAGTATCAACTACAAGTAATGCACGAGTAAATAAAGGTGGACATGCCTATACTACAAACAGTACATAAATGCGAACTATGATTTCTTATCAAGTTTAAAGTAAATTCAAGTAATATGTTATAATTATCTAGTATATTTTACCATCACTACAACAGAGGGGCGAAAGATACCAGAGGGACATTCAAACTCATAGATCGAAAATAAACTGATAACGCCATGGTTAAAAAAGAAAATACAAACAGACAAATAATAGTACACAAGACACTACATAGAAAACTAAAGACTAAGCAACACGAACCCCACCAAAACTGGGGGTGATCTCAGGTGATTTGTAAGGGTAAGCAGATCCTACTCCACATGTGGAACCCGTCGTGTTGCTCATTATATTACAAACCCGGTAAATAGTCTAATTCGGTAAGTCACATTTGTGAAAGAGAACGAGATTGTAGTTACAAACTGCTCAGAATCTGTGGAGACCATATGTTGTGCTCGACCAGTAAGCACTGATCTAACTTGTCAAGGCTTAACATTATCTCGACATTACTTAACTGTACTCGCATTTGGTCGAATGTGTTACGATTATCAAGTACTCAATCAGACTTATTAAGTAAAGTGGATACTAAAGTTGAGTTCAGTTAAGTACAGTCGAGATTATGTCGAGTCTTGCCAAGTAAAATCTGTTCTCGACCTTACTGGTCAAACACAAAATATGGTCTCCTCTGAGCAGTTTGTAGTGCATGTTAACGTATTAGACTTAAGAAGATCACTTGTTATTGTGGCTTTCATTTTATTGGTAACTCATCTTCAAAAGCATTTCATTCAATTATCTTTACCTTACACTTTAGAAGAACAAGTATATGGATCGTTTATTTTGAAATAAAAAAAAAACGAAACAAAACAAAACAAAACAACTAAACGTCACAAAATCTTCGTGACCGAAATTGATCTAATAAAAGACTTCAAATGGAAAATATGACACATTATATGAATATACTATTTAAGAAATATTTCATGGGAGCTTGCAATTATCATGATTTTACCACGGGTTGACCCTTTATGCTTGAGATTTTACCACGAGCGACAGCGAGGCATAATAAATCAGAATAAAGAACGAACCCGTGGAAAAAAATGTTTGCTGTTCCCGTTTTTTAACACATTATTGATATTGACGTAAACGACGAAAAAATTGAATAAGTGACATTCTTAAATGATAAGCAATAACAAATTAAAACAGATTTAGGTGAACTTAATTGACTATCTTACTTTCATTTCAGAAGATATCAACAATACACAATTCTTACCATCGTTTGTTTATGTTTTCATATTTTAACGACTTTCAGTTTCCCATTCGTTTGTTTTCCCGTAAAATCCTTATTTTCTTACGATATTGTTCAATGACGTCATTTACATCATCGGATGTGAGGCAAATCATTCATATAAGCATACGACGTGGGATTAGGATTTGAACAGAACAATAAATCATGACGTTGCGTAGCAACTGACAAACGTTGCCTCAATCCCAGTGTGGGTAAAACTGAAATGTTGAAAACAGACATGTTTTGCTTCTCTTCTTAGCACGCGGCGATTAGAAGTTAGAGAAATTCTGGTCTTACTGAGTATGCATTTAATACATCGCTGGCTATGCAATCATATTTTCACCATCATAAACATTATATATATTTGACAGGTTATTGTTGTGACGATGGGATATAGGTTAAGATGTCCAGTTGCAGGAGAATGGCGTCTAAGAGCGAAAATCTTTGACTGCGGTAGAGACTATGTGTGTTTGTTGCGTTCACCAGAGAATTCATACCATGAGAACTGCGACGGACTAGATTATAGCAGCACAGGTAATTTCGTTTTTAATCATTATTTATCTTCCGGATTTTTTGGTTTTTAGTGCTCTACATCCTCGTATTAAATTTGTTCATGTGGTAATTGGGACACATTAATAGTGTCTATGCTACTGAAATGTTTGTGCAGAATGAAACACTAAACGCACATAGTCAACTCAATGTGTCTGATTTAGATATTTTAGAAAATTTTTACTCGACATTTGAAAGTCGAGCATTATGAATTAGGACATTTGAATAAATGATCATCTCAAAGAGGAGGGAGATACTAAAGGCATATTCAAACTCATAAGTCGAAGAAACACTGACAACGGCATTTCAAAAAACGACTAAAATGACTACAAAACACAACATAGAAAACTGAAGACACAGCAAACCGAACCCCACTAAAGACAGTATTTGAGCTTAGTTGTTCTTGAATTTTAGCAGAGTTTGCTTCACCTGTTCATTATGTTTTTCATTTTTGGTGAAACATTATTTCAGTGGTGTCAAATTCGCAGGAAAGAGATCGATATTGGGTTTACGACACATGAGTGTTTCGAAAAAATCAACAATTTAAAAACAGTAATTTTACAGAAAATTAACTAATAAATTCTATTTCATAGTAACACGTAAGTTTCGGTTACTGCATGGGCGGGAGATACGACGCTTATGATTGATTAAGGCACATGCGAGTATCGTCTACAAATTTTACATAAAATTAGTTGTCATATTACTATTTATACAAAAACTTACTTTTTGCATCCTTCAGTACAAATTACGAATTTTCGATCCCTAATTATCTATGCTCTTATTGGTATATGAAACTGGTCATATGACAATGAATATAAGAGAAGATTTCTAAGCAAATAGTAAAACAACAATAACAAAGGAATTGATAACTTTTCACATTATACAGGTCATAATAAAAGGGCATAGTTAGAGATAACACGTAGCTACATTTTAAATTGTGCCTGAAACAAAATACAAAATGTTATAATTGAACAAAACACATAAACAATATATAGATAATGCAATCCAAGAAACATAAAACAGACTGGGACTAGAACTCAAATATGAAACAGGTCAATCTCATTAAACGTACTACTAAAAAGTAAATTCACAAAACTACTGAACTCTGAGGAAAATTCAAAACGGAAAGTCCCTAATCAAATGGCAAAATCAAAAGCTCAAACAAATCAAACGAATGGATAACAACTGTCATATTGACTTGGTACAATCATTTTCTTATGTAGAAAATGGTGGATTGAACCTGGTTTTAAAGCTAGCAAAACCTCTCACTTGTTTGACAGTCGCATCAAATTCCATTATATTGACAACGATGTGTGAACAAAACAAACAGACATAATAGGTAATAATGTCAAAAATTGGGGTTCACCAGAACCTTAATTTGACCAATTATGATGTTCAAATATGGCATGTTCTATTTTTCTGTATATTGATTCCAGGTAGCAAACTTATATTCGAACCAAATTTCAACAAAGCACAATGCAGCTCCAAACGTTATCAGCCTTTCCCATTCTCAACTGATGGAAACAGTAAGTGTATGTACCAAAAGTCCTTTTGTAATGAAGAGGGTCAAATCGTCTATCATGAAGGAACTGTCATAAATGACACAACCTGTGGATGTGACTTCTCCAAAGGGTACCGATTTGTGATCAAGCCAAGGCATAACTGTTACTGTATACCCTCAGAGGAAGACTGCGCATGTCACAAACTACTTTGTAAGAATGAAGGTAAATTGAAACAGACGTTCTTCAGTATGTCTCTAAAGAAATTGTTTTGATTACTTTGATCAGATTATGACATTTTAAAAGCCACTATATTTTTTGGTAAAGCTTTAGACTGACCCGATCATAGATAATTTCGACTTCCTTGTAGTTTTAATTTAGAATTAAATATGCATTGTGTGTGATTAATATAAAATGAAAAAGACGGAGTTAAATTTGTAACAACACCCATTTATGCAGTTACCAAAAACCAGATCAAAGAGAAAACGCTATTTTTTTTGGTCAGAGTTTGCGTGCAAGAACCTTATTTCTGTTTTTAATTGATGACTTTTTTGAAATTCCGATTCACTCTTGCAGTTTTGTAAAGTTTGTCGTATTCTTGAAGCATGCATCAATATGTGAGCTTATCATTGTTTTGTATAGTGCAGAGAAATCTTAAAGATTTTAACTAAATCATGAAAATGTCAAGCAAACATTTTAGTAATTTAGACTGTCATACAAGTGAGAGGTTCAGCTAGCTATAAAACCAGGTTTAATCCATTTTCTACATAACGCAATGCCTGTACCAAGTCAGGAATATGACAGTTGTTTTCCATTCGTTTGATGTGTTTTACCTTTTGATTTTGGTTTTGATTGAAACAGGCACTTATACTCATGTTCAACATTGACTCATTATTTAAGTGCCAGTTTCAAGTTATGTGACTTTAATTTAATGGCAGTAGTTAGTTGCTGTCTGTAATGCTTGTATTTCGTGTATTGTTTTATTGTCTATTTCGGACTCAACAGTGTAACATGTCGGAGCTTAAGTAGTTTAAGTCAAATATGTCAATTTGTAAACGTTAATGATATCATTTTGACATCACGGTTAATAATATGTACTAAAGTGTCCAGATAATATTGATTATCAAATAGAATCATTATTTTGAGAAAAAAATGACATTTTGACTATTATAACAAATTAAGTGGGTTATCAGTTCGATTTCATTATTTACCAATTTCTCGACCTTTGAATTCAATTTATTTCAAAAGTGTTATAGAATTTATCTTAAATACGTTAACCATCCGGTGTACGTTAATTAGGAGTGTAAGGTAACAATGTAGGTAACGTCAAAGACTAATTATTCATCTACATGCCAATTGTGACATTCAACCCTTAGACTATGTTGTTTTGATTTCATTTGATTTGGCTAGGGCAAATGAATATTTTTTAATATTTATGTGTTTTTGTTTATTATAGAGTACATATGTCCTCATTATAGTGCAGCGATTCTGAATATATCCTGTCCAGAAATTACTACCGAACTGTAAGTTAATTACCACTTGAAAACAATTTTTGCCTTGCAGTTTTTGTTATAATGTTAATAAACAGGTATTTTCATATCAATCCTGTATCATGTTCAAATGCTCGCGTATTGGGTCGAATTGAACCGAGAATTACTTCTGGAGAATACTGTTTATGTGGTGACAAATGCTGTAAATGCTGCCTACAGATGCATCACTCATCAACGTTCCACAGTAAGGCCGCTAACAAAACCCAATAAAATATATTGCAATGCGACCTTTAAAAGTATGAATGTTATTTACATTCCAGAATGTTCGGTTTGCGGCCTCCAATATGTTGGTGAGTCAGCCTTTCCACAACGCCTCAATGGCAATAGAAGTGATATCTATAAGAAGCAGCTTCTCCCAGTTCCCATTTCAGATAGCCGGATCATAAACTTGATGACTGTATTACTGAGTTATTTGTTAAACATAAACAACTAGTATTGATTTACATTTGATAAACATAAACAATTAGTATTGTTTTACATTTGATCAACATTATTGACATTGACGAAGGCTATAAATATAAAATATAGAAATAGTTCAGTCTAGGTGGCCGAGTGGTCTAGAGCGAAGGACACAGTGCAGGTGGTGTTGTCTGGATATCACAATAGCATGAGTTCGAATCCCGGCGAGGAAAAAACAACAATTTGCTTCGGCAAATTTGCAGATTTTACATTGATGTGCTGATATTTAGAGTAGTTTAAAATATATAAATATATATACATCATCTACATACCGCTAAACATCATGTTCTGTGTTACAACCCTAATGTCTGTCATAAAGTTGTCACATGTCTTAGATGTGTATAATAAAATTTAAATTTGATGTGGCGGCATGGTAATTAACATTATCATCCTTAACGACAGACAAAATAGCTGATCTGAAAGGAACACCATCTACTTGCCCTTATACATCATGTACTGTGTTGCAACCCTAGATAAGTCCGAGGAGGAAAGACATTACTCGACCAGCAAAAGCTACATATTATATAGCCTAGGTGGTCGAGTAGTGGAGTGGTCTAGGGCGCTGGACACGGTGCAGGCGGTGTTGCCACAATGTCACATAAGCAATGGGTCGAATCCCGCTGAAGGAAGAACAAAAATTTGCTTACCCAAATTTGAAGATCTGACATTGTTGGGCTATATTTGAGACGAATTATATTATGTTATGGTGATTGCCCTGAATAACCACGTGTTATCCGATGCAGAATGTCTGTCATGGAGTTGTCACATATTTAGACATGTATATTAAATTAAAATTTGATGTGGCAGCATGGTAATTTACATTGGAATCCTTTACGACAGACAAAATAGCTGATCTGAAAGGTACACCATCTACTTGCCACTATACATCATGCACTGTGTTACAACCCTAGAAAAGGAGACGAGGAAATGCATTTACTCGACCAGCGAAAACTATATTTTTATATAGCCTAGGTAGTCAAGTGGTCTAAGGCGCTGGACACGGTGCAGACGGTGTTGCCACAATGTCACATAAGTAAGGGTTCAAATCCCCCTGAGGGAAAAACAAAAATTTGCTGAAGCAAATTTGAAGATCTAACATTGTTGGGCTAAATTTCAGACGAATTATATATACATATATATATATATATATATATATATATATATATATATATATAGAATTCCATATAAAACGACCAACCAGATTTATATACATACGTTCAGATATGTGACAAATATACGACAGATGATCTCCATCGGATAACTTATGGTTATACAGGGCTAATATCATAATTTATGTACACTTCATCTGCAATTAAGCCCAACAATTTTAAACCGGCAAATTTCCTTCTTCAAATTCTTCCATCATCGGGATTCAAACCCCTACTTCTGTGACTCACGGCAATACCTCCTGCGTTACTAGCATAATGTAATGTGGTTTATGTGAGGAATACTACTGAGACAGACACGATTGTCGCGTCAAAAGTAGATTAAGAATATGGACACTAGACATATATCGCTTTGTAAACATTTATATTTTAGATGTTTGATCTGCCACGAAAACCGACAATTCCGAATATTCCCATATCATATACGAGTTTATGACAAAAAATATTTAAATGTTGTGTTTTGTGTACTATTGTTTGTCTGTTTGTCTTTTTCTTTTTTAGCCATGGCGTTGTCAGTTTATTTTCGACTTGTGAGTTTGAATGTCCCTTTGGTATCTTTTGCCCCTCTTTTAAAATCTGGAGCTTTCGAAATATGTATAAATGAATTCCGAACGCCAAAAGATAGACGGGATAATACAGACCTTATGCCGTTTGTATGTACTCATGACACGAATAGGAAAAACTTTTTCAACGTTATGAAATAAAATCTTCCGCATCTTCCACAAAAGAGAGGCGAAAGATACCAAAGGGACATTTAAACTCAAAAATTCGAAAATAAACTGACAACGCCATAGCTAAAAAAGAAAAAGACAAACAAACAACAGTACACAAGATACAACATAGAAAACTATAGACTGAGTAACACGAACCCCACCAAAGTTATCGTATGTCTAATCAAGGAGATCCGAACATAACCTCACAAATCTAACGAACTGTTTTTTTTTTAATTATATTGTTTGTTTTATTTTCCTTTCACAGTCGTGACCTGCGGAAGTGATGTCCCCTTTATTCCTGAACGAGCCTTTTTTAGTTAGGTATTTGTGTCATATAACTAATAATAATGTAACTGAAACCCAAATAAAAGTCTCCGGAGATGAACAAATAAAACTAAACATTTATGACATAAAAATAAAACACATCAACAAAAGCTGACATAATTTATCCTGCGAAGTACTCTGTACCTTTTTAGAAGGTTAAGCTTGTTCCTACTAGTTTCACTTACATGAAAGATATTAATGGTCAACATCCATATTACCTTTTTACAATTATCGTTGTTACTGGTAACGTCACATTAAAATAAATCATACTCCGGAACAGGGAAGGCAACGTTTCAAAATAAAAAATGTTTCATATGTGTTCGTTAAGAATATATAATAAGATTTATGTTATTTATAAGGTTATATTCAATCATTTGTTAAATTCGATTTTTTAATGAAACATTATCTTTGTTTTAAAGACTTTGGTTGTCGTTTACCTTTGATTATATTTTTATCTTCGTTGACTCATAATGTATTTGAGATGTGTTTTTAACATTGGCAAATTTTGGATAAAACATTTGGATGCTTCATTGTTTCTTCGAATTTCGAAATATATGGTAATGCATAGGCGTTCTCTTTAATTTGGTTATTTGTAGTTCACGAATATTAATGACCTTGGCTCTCTTTATTCCGTTGTCTATAATTGTAACTGGATAATTTCTGATTATGGATACCTGTTCAATGGATGTCTTGACAAAATTAAACCGATACTATAGAACAGATTTTTTGGGGCAAATTAAGAGGAAACTGGTTCTGGTATGTTTTAGATGACATGAAGGAACATATAAATGTGAGAGTACGACGCAAACAACAGAAAGCTAAACTTGAACAGGTCAACATATTTTTCTACAATTGTGCACTATGTCAAATTCTATATCGTTACCAAATTTTGAAATGTATTATCCTTATATGCCAGTTGTATTTAAAAAAAATGTAACTTCTACCTATTGAGAATCATTTAATGTACTGTTATGCCTTTAGTCAACTTGAATCTATTGTCTGATCGGTTGTCAGGGGGAATTTTAAAAAGTTTGAAAACATTTAAAAAAATTCTAATTATATATTTTGCAGAATGGCAGACTTTTCAGGGGTAGAAGACTCATAACCCTAGATACCACACACAAAAATTGAAGTTATGCATTTTTAAGATCCACTTGTAAAGTCTGTCGTCAAGTACTTTTAGTAAAAATTTGTTATTTAAACACACCAACTCTATTGTTTTGACTCATTATAAAGGTATTTCACTTGACCCATATATTTCATTTTATAGTACTGTGAGTTTTAATGTTATTATATCAACCTATAGCCTAAATATATAAAAGTAATAGAATCTGAAGCGAGATGATGTGTCAAATATTTTTGCTTTATACGTTTTCAAAACATAATAGTCAACTCAAACACGCCTAAACAGAAAAAAGGTGTACTTTCTCTTTTTCGATGAAATTATTGCCCATTTTTAGGATTTTTTCACAAACAACTGTCGCCGGGGGCAGAGATGCAAATTAATGCTTCAAAAAGATCAATCTTTGATCTTTCTGTGGAAAATTTTTCGGAGGAATTTATGCTTATGCAGAAAAAAGATCCACATGTATTTGCACCTATCACAATTCGACTGTTTTGTTAAAATTTGTCTCTAATTTACAAGTTTACAAATATTTCGAAGCTCCATACTGTAATGTAAACCACGTATATAAGATGCATAAATTCCTAGATTGTGCACCGTCATTAAACTTTTCAAGCCCATAGAAACAGATGTAAACAATTAAATATACCAATTTGGCCTTTTTTACCTTTTCTAATAAAGAGTTCCATTTCTTTTGTTTAATTTCAACTGGGTATCCGCCTGATTTAGGGTTCATGACGTCATGTCTACTATTAATGGTGACGTCATCTATAAATGTTATTGTATTTCATTGTTTATATTTATACAAAACTTGGCATGAAAAGTTCGGTGTGCGATTAATTCGTTATACGGTTCACCCCTGGCCCCCTACGGATCCATAGAGGGTTAGTAAAATCCATAGGGCCGTCGGCCTCACCCCTATGGATTTTACTAACCCTCTATGGATCCGAATGGGGTAAAGCAAACCATAAAACTTATAAAAACATTTTAATCAGTAAGACGGATGTATTCATGGTGGTATTGAACTGTTTTGAATTGTGATTCAGAACAATACATAAAACCCATCGTGTTTTAAATGAACCGGTGTATTATATGATAGTTGTTTTTGCACTCGTTCCTTTGGTTGGTAACGTATGATTTTGTCAGTTTTTATGGACTTCCCTTTTTGAATTTACCTTGGATGACGGTATGTTTGTTATACTTTTTTTCGGTACTATATATAACAGTTCTTCGGCGTAAATGAAAATGAAAAATGGTAACTGGATAGTGGTAACTGGATAATGCAAGGTTATATTCTATAATTTGTGTTAAAACCTCGTCAATGAAAGTGAGGTCGTTTAACGACAAATACGTACTTTTAATTTTCCTGTTGCAAAATTTCCATTGTCATGAGCTGCACATGAGAATGAATCGTGTATCTGAATTTTGAAAAGGTTTTCCAGGACTTTAATATGCTGTCGTGATGTTTTCTGTAATAATGGCGCTTGTAGAGGTTTTTGATTCAGCGGTTCTGAATAATAACGGTGGCGAATACCCTGAATCTTTTGAACAATTCGTATTGTTCTATCTTTTCTTAAATGTGTAATGTCCTGTGGATGCTGTTTCGGTTGCATTCCTCGACTATATTCTATAAACCTTTGCTATCACATATTTTCCAAAAGGAAGGAATATGGATTTTTACCTGGAATATTAAATATCGGCACAATTACAATGTAGTCGATACAATTTTGTTTTGAAATCAGGATCACATAAACCTAGTCCAGGAAATTAATAAGCTTAATTAATTGTAAGACTATTTCATATGTTGCTTTTTCATATATGTGTCTATCTATGGCGTCGACTATCCGTCCGTAAACAGTTGTGATTGTCGCGTTGATATTTTTTTTCTAATCTTAAAATAGGTCATCAAAAAGCAACATGTCTTCGCTTTTTGGAAACAGATTTAACGACGCCAAAAACTTTGATAACATAGGTAAGTGCTTAACAAGTTACATGAGATATATCCTACATGTATTTTTGTCCTTTTGTAATCATGCTATATATAAACATTTTCCTAAAAAAGTAAACACTAACTTTAAATTGAATTCTACAGACAAAATATGTATAACTGTCTTTCGTTTTACCAGTAAGAGTAGTAATAATCTGTTATTCTCTTTAGAACTGAACCGTACGATGGTTTCAATCGGAATTGATCATTGTTGTGTTTATTGCAACCACTGATACATATTCTTGTTTTCCAAACAAAAGGATTGTGCTATTAAACTTTCCTACTTGTGCGGATCCAAAATTAAACATTAATTGTTTTAAGCACCCAAGCATTCTCTTGTTTGACAAACATTGTACTTAATTAAATTCTTTATTTTTCTTCAATTTTTTTCTTTTGATTATGCATGTGGTCTTGTCAATAACAGAATTCCATAGTGTGTATACTTTTGGAGCCATAAATAATATTTTATGTTATAATATTTTGGTTTGTGAGAATAATCAGGATGGTGCGAACATTTTCCGGGCGTATAATTTGACATGGTTAGTACAACTGATACAATTGGTTGGTTTCAAATACTGATTTAACTAGGTTGAAAAAAGTTCATTTAGTCAGAATTATAATAAACCTAAACAGTTTGACAAGTTTGAAAAAATTTAAGTTAAATCAGCAGTCACGTTCTATTACGTATATACCATCTCTCCTTTTTTGTTTTTTCATTACATTCGTGAATTCACAATTTCCGCAATGTTACTCCGTTTGCAAAAATAAAACAGTAATTAAAGGTAAATTTTAACTTTAAGGAGTCAATTGATGGTTTAAGTCACAATAATTCTCGTGTAGATCTTGTATTGCTGATTATATTTGCTGATTATATTTGTTTATGTATTGTAGTTTTACTCATGCCGTTAGTTTTCTCGTTTGAATAGTTTTACATTTAACAATTCCAGGGCTTTTATAGCTTACACAACGGTTTCGTGTTTGCTCACTGTTGACGCACATGCGAAGACCCGGATTTGTTAACATTCTTACATCTCCGTGTTTTTATCTTGACGTCCTAAGAAAAATTAAGGGTAGATAATATTGTATTTTTGTTTGTTTTTGAAGGTATATTATTCTGTTCAACGTTTCAAAAGACAGTTCCGTATAAACATATATATTGTGGTAATCGGAGTTTATACAATGGTTGAAATGTTTAAATTCTAACATTACTCGACATGTATATATGTTTAGCACAATCCAAACTTGAAATAAGGTTCAGATTAGAGTTAGGAAATAAATAAAAACTGACTGTAACAAATCAATCATGCGTGAAGATAAGCTGGCTAAAGTAAAGACTTTTGATAAAAGAAATGCTAATTAGAATTATTAACAAGTAAGTCCAATTACTGCTTTATTCAAACTCATTCAAAGGAGATGATCAAGGCATTCTTTTGTCCCCTCAAATTTGAAAATAAAAAATCTATCAAATAAGAACCTTCAGGGGTTCATAAGACATAAGTCTGACAAATTTAAGCATTCTTCGTTTTGGGTCTGTACTTACATGAGCAACACGACGGTTCCCACATGTTAAGAAGGATCTGCTTACATTTCCGAAAGAAATGAGATCATTTGCTGTTTAAGTGGCGTGTTGCTCAGTCTTTAATTTTCTACGTTGTGTTTTGTAGACTGTTGTTTGTCTTTTGGTTATTTTTTTTGTTTTTTTTAAAGGCGTTGTCAGTTTGTCATCGATGAGTTTGAGTTTCCATTTGGTATCTTTCTCCTCACTATGAAGTTTCCCATCGATAATTGCATTTAGGCTTCAGACAAATTTTGAGATCTTGTGATTAATATTTAGAAATGAGCCAAGGCTTTAACCAAAAATATTTTTCCTACACAATAAGTATTAAAAAGATGTTTATGTTTCTAAAGTTTTATTTTTAGTAAGGCATATCTAGTTAGTCCAAATAGCATATGTAAAATTTTGGATATATATGTCAATTTTGACACGTTTATGACGTCAAAGTGATACCATCAGTAACCATTTTTGCACTAAAGTTTGCAGATTGTATGGCCCTTCATATTTATCAATAAATTTAACATCATTGTTCCATAATTGTACTATGTTTTGCAATTTTAGGGGCTGAATAATTGCTTTTATCATACCCCTTCTTTTCAAGTAAAACATTTTTAAGACATATTCGTGTAATTAACTTCTACTAAAGGGGTTTTTAACGACCTTGACTACTATGAGGGTCTCGCACGGTCGTTTTTTGTTTGTTTTGTTTTTTTGTAATATGAAATTTTAATAAAAATCAATTTTGTTACAGGTAGAAAACATAGATTACCATGTATATTCCTTACTACAGCATTACTTATTATTATGATTATTGTTGTTCCTCTATATGGTAAGTACATTCTAATTAGTTTGAGGTTATACGAAATAAGATATTCGATGCAATCGTCGATTAAACTGTTTCTCACCCGCAATTGGAAAGAGGGGGCATTCAAACGAGAAATAACGATCTATATGAATACGGTAATTATCATCACCATCCCTTGCACAGCGTTTGGATACAAACTAAGCCCGAATTGTTTGCTTTGGTAATTACTCAGTTTAAAAAAATAGGATGATTCCCCTTAAATATTTATTATACATATATATAAATAATTTAAGGATGTTTGCTTCTCTTGTTTTTGACTTTTTGTCAGATATTTGCAAACCTCGAGTTTTATCCATGTAATGCCAATAAAATTTTTCCCCGATAACCCCACATTCCTTTTCATTATTTTATAACATTTAGTTTAAAAAGCCATTTTTGAAAATCTTATATACAATCATTGATATTTTGTCATAGTCATTGTTGACAACGCCCAGCAGGCATTTCAACGTTGAAACAACGTTAACCTGCAACGTTGAAATGACGTTGAATGAACTGTAAGTTTGGAAAGTTGACGTTGAAAAGGTGACGTTATTTTCTACGTTGTTACCAAAAAGAAAACAACACGTTATAAATTTCATGCGTCCTAAGCGCTTTTCTGGATTTACCTTCATCAGGAACGCTCAAAGCCCAATATTTGAAAGCCAAGGATGTATTAGAACCGAAACAGTTGAAGAGCTATATTACTACAAAAGACCTAAAAAAACAGCCAAATCCATCTAAGGTCAACATTGCCTGAGGGAGTTGAAACCTTAGTTTCTAATAATTTCAAAATTTATTAACGGACAATTTTAGAAAGTTTATTATAAATTATGTCAGTACCGAAGTACAACGTTGATTTTTGATTGAATATAAAATGAAACTTACTTCATTGAAACAACCTCACCCTTAACATTGAAATAACATTGTTTTCTTGTTGAAAATAAGCAGTTCATTGGTTGTTATTGCTTCATCTGTCATATTTGTTTGTCATTACTAATCAGGCTGTTGTGTTTTTTCGTATTAATTGTTTAAAAAGTTTTCGTGTTAGGACCTTTTATCACTGACTATATGGTATGGTGTTTGCTCGTTGTTGAATGCTATATAGTGACCTCCACGACAAATTGGACTCTTGGTGGATATGTGTCTCATTGGCAATCATACCACATCTCCTTATTTCTATAATACTTAGTAACTACAAAAGAAATTGAAGCCACATGACTTATTTCTGAAAATGTACAGAGGATATAAGCAAGCTTTGATTTAAATAAGAAAATAAAAAAAAAAATAAAAAGAATTGTACAACATATGTCAAGTCATGGCAATAGCTCATATAGCCAATCACATTCCGCATAGTTTAGAAAATGACGTCAGATTTCGATTTCAAGGCAATCATCGAAAATCAGTGCCAATTTTTTTAAAAGTCCATTAACATGCCTTCGATGGTGTTAATTTTTTACCTTTCAGAAACATTTACTTAACCTGTTACAGTAAATACGGGACAGTAAAGCGGTCAAGAATAGATCAAACCTACCTCGCTGCGTTTTATCAAATTTTTCAAATTATTTATTTTCAAACTTTGAATGCATTTATTCATCATGATATAAAATATTATGGTTTATATGTCGTCTTTTAGCATGTGAGGTAAAGCATGTACATAGCAAGATTCAGAATCCAGGTAAACTTAAGAAACTTATTTTTTTTATGTTTTCTCTTAAACCCCAGAAAATACCATTTACTATATTTAAAACATCTAGAGAGCTATTGTCTTCTAATGTTTACATTTTTATTTATTTTTATTGTGGGTTCTTCGTTTTATTCAACAACATATTGCACTTCTACTGTCAACAATATGCTTCGCTAGTCCAGCATTCATGTAAAGCGTCCTTGTTTGTTAATAACACGAACCCACAAAAATACCGGGGTGATGTCAGGTGCTCCGGAAGGGTAAGCAGATCCCACTCCTCATGTTTTTGTTCAAAACCGACCCTCATTGTCAATTTCTAGATGAAAGTCAAGCTGAGGCTGATTTAACTGTATCTGTCGTATCCTTTATTTCAAGTTCGTGGCGATAGATGCTTTCAACATTGTCACCAAATTTTTAGTGAGACGACATCAGCTATATAGCGGATAATGAAGTTAAAGGATAATGCTAGCTTCTTTTCATTCTTCCTTTCAACTGTTGCGGTTCTTAAACATAAATCAAGATGCTTTGAACAGTTCATTTGATAATCTTCTCTGTTTTAACGGCATGGAGTACCGTTATTTATTATCACATGTGACGGTGATCAGCTTCTTTTCTCACTAGTAAATGAGTCTTAGTCTGAAATGCTCATTTTAAACTTAATATCGTCTAAAAAGTCTGAACAATAAATCATTCAGTCATTTTCAGACTTAACCGCTGCGGTAAATTCAGTACTGTTCAAACAGTTCGCTTGCAGTCAATTTAGTACAATTCAGTGGTTTTTCAAATGTGTACATGAGCTATGATAATAATAGCCTTATGTATCTTAGGTCATCTTTTACTGAGGGAGGTGAAACCTAAGTTCCTTAATAATTTCGAAATTCATAAACGAACAACTTAAGAAATCTAAAACAGTTTATGTTTAATCTTTCAAACTTTTGATACCGGTAAAAACACTGTTTTGGAGATTGAGTAGTCATTTCAGTACTTGGTATGATTGCTAATAAGGCTTTTATCCCCTAGACACCAAATGATATAGATTTAATCAACTATAGGATACATACGGCTTTCAACATTGAGCAAAACACAAACCGTTAAGATATCGCAAATAGGGTCATATGGTGAATTAAGGGACAATTATTATCAATCCGCCTATTTACCACATTAACTCATCAAAATATTCAACCATGAATAAAAAATGATGGATCGGTGCTTCAGTTGAGAAGGCAATGGTTCAGGGAAATGTAAATTCATCCGGTTATGGGGGATGATCGTGGTGTTCCTATGAATCTTTTTCCTCAATTTTGACATCATTGACTGCAAAGACTGCAAAATGAGCAACACTACGGGTTTAAGAAATGGAGAACTGCTTGCCTTGGTTAGGTTAAACTTTAGTTGTCAGTGTAAATATGGTCTGTTCGTCTTCTCTTTTTTTTTTTGCTATAGCTAATTTATCTTTTTCCCATATATTTGCATTGTACTTGCTTCGTTGGTATTCCCTCGCTATAGTAAGAGCACGTAAAAAGATTCATTGTGGTCATCATTTCACAAATTAGATTATAATTCTAAATTGATGATTGTATGTAGAACATTGAACTGAAGATTTTTTTTGCAAATTCACAGTTGGCCGACATAGACATGCATTAATCTGATATCTTGTCAGAATTGCATAGATATCTTCTAACATAGTTAAGATATGGTAGAAAAAACGACTCGGTTGTTGTTTCTTAAATTTGGCATTTCTCTGTTAAGTTGGTAAGTTAAGATTGTGGACACATTTGAACATTGTCTACCATGAGGATTATCGACATGTTTATGTTTAATTATGTCACAGTCCTGAGTAATATTATATCATTATAACATACAAAATTATCTGAATGTCCTTCATACGCGTTATGAGTTTGGGGTGCTATAATAATTTCACCCATGGCGCATGCATTCTTGCTCGCTAATATGATTCATTTTCCTTATGTCAAAGAGATATACTATTTGATAAATATACTGTGTGTGTCAACACTTCCATTTAATATCAAAGTGTATTTTGCATTGTCTACATATACATGTTGTGTTACTCTATTCTGTGATGCTACTGAAAATCTCATTATGGTCAAGCAAGAAATAATTATGTTCATATTATGATAATATGAGAAGTCTCACATTAAGGCCAACAGTATCTTTTGATTACCATAATCATAATAAGTTGTTTCAATGAATAATGATTTCTAAACAAACATAGATATCAAAAGGGCAATAAGTGATTCAGAAAAATCATAAGCAAAAACAGAAAAGGGGATTTGTAATTCAGTCATTGTTTAAGTTTTTGTTTTTGTCTTTTTGTTTCCCGATTTACTAAACAGTTTCACTGCCCTATCTTTTGCTATTATTCGTTTGGATCATGTTTTTATGGCAGTATTTTCGAATTTTTTACACGTTTTTGTAGAATCATTGGAGGCGTATATTGACCTCCCCGAAGCAAGTTCATCAACTACTGATTCAGAAACATTCTCCCGGAAACAACAGCCAAGCATAATAGATATCCTGATATTCAGAAATGTGTTGACAAAAGACCAAGGTAAACAGATAAAAGAAATTCCCTCGTCAGAAGCAAAGAACAGGAACAGGATGTTAATGGATATACTATTGCGAGGACATGAAACTATGTATAATCTATTTATCGATATCTTAGAAAAGGATGGAAAATATGAAAAACTAGCAAATACAATAAAAGGCACAGAAATTACAGACGAAGATAAATCTAATGTTCATAATTGTAATAATGTACATGCGAAAATTGTAGTTTAGAAAAATATGTCTAAGAGAGTATCATAACAAATCAAGTTGTTTATAATCAAAAGGAGAAGGTATGATTAACATGATAACGTAAGGTTTTTGTCTATTGAATATCAAGGTTGTTGATTACAAGCTTCAGAAAGCTACTACACAGAGTGTTCCTATTAATTAATCGAGTCAAACGGTCTTAAAAACATTCTGAAACAATGAGTATTTTTTCCCTCAACATGTGTTTTCCCAAATATGAGCCAATAGTCTAAGGTTTTTGACAAAATACATGAGGATTTTAATTCCTGACGCAGATAAGCTTTTGAATCCTGACATATGATTTAACCGTCTTGAATATGACGAAGGTACTATGGCTGGGAATTTAATATTCCTTATTTAGAGGAACTGTATTTAAGGTTCGTACATAATAAAGCTACAGCTAAATACTCTCACTATAAAGGCGAAAGCAAATACTGGTCAAGAACCTTCCATCTGAATCTGTAATAGAAAAACAAATTATAACTGCTTACATTGATTTTAGAATCACTTGTTTTACCAATTGACTAGATTAAGCACTCATATTTCCTCCTTGTAAAGCTGAAATGTTTGCCCAATAATTGCCAAAATAATATAAACATTCATTCGATCTCTTATAGTTAAAAGATAATTATGGCAATTATTGGGCTAACATTTCAGCTTTACAAGGAGTAAATACGAGTGGACAGCTAAATTTAAGCTTATTTTGCCTGCTTATGAGAGTGCACATGAAATTATGGATAATTTAAATATATCTGCTTTATCTGGTCAATTTGGTAGCAAACAATTTTGCATTTAAACAACATTTGTTATTGGTATTAAAAACTACACACTTACTGGTATAAAATAAGCATCATCGCGGACAATAAACCAATTATACTTATAACGTTGACCGGGTCAGAACATTATACAATTCAAACATCAAAATAAGTGTCATTGATTTAATTTGAATGACGAGGGTCTCGGCAGTATAAATATAGCTGTGGAACTCCGAGGTATTTGGATAGACGCATTGCAGTTGACAATCCTGGTGTCCTATTTTACGTTTCGTTTTAATTAAGTCTTAAACTATAGAAACTAATTATTTAAAATGAGAATAAACCTTTTTTCTACAGGTGTACAAGACAGACAAGATACCAAAGGGTGTCCTCATAAGTCGAAGACAAACCACCAACCAGATATGTTATCTGTCTTATTACTCCTTTATTTAAAGAGATTAAACATCATGCAATAGCGGATTGGTAATTACCCCTTATCTAGTCCCATTACATCATCCAATGTGTAAACCATCGGTCATGTAAATTATTTAACCCTAAAACTGGATTAAAAAATTTGGAATTGAAATATTGGAATTATGTAAGTGTATCATATGTGGATATGTGCAAATGTAACCAACAAGAAACGGACTTCAATCCAACACGGTAAGACGGATTAAAATCTTCAAACCTATTCAGATGATGTTGATTTTTAAATGTTTCTACCTACATTTCTGTAATGCAACACATAAATAGTAAATTACACCTTTTGTGAGTATATTTTGGCGATTGATAATGCATATAACTTTCAAAGTATAATAAACCCTTTGCCTTATTGTAAGGTCAACAACAGTTAGTTTATAGACTCTTGATATTTACATATATCAAATGGGATGGGATACGTCTTTTTAAACAGCATATAATTTGCGTTCCTTATGACATTAAAGAAGACTGTTTAAGCCTAAACATTGCCATTTTGATGTCTCATAATTTATTGTGTTGTTGGGTTGCTGTTTCATTAACATATACCAAATAAAGTACTTTTATTTATAAATTAAACTATTTCCATGTAAACTACAGCAACTGATTGTTAACTTTGTAATTAACTTGTTAACTTGATCAAGTGATAAACAACATGCCTTCTTCATCCTGTCATTAAACCATGAAAAATATAATACAAGGCAACAAACAACAAGCTTTGATTTCAGGAATTGTTAATATTATTTGTTATTAATCTTGTGTATTTATTTACGATATCATAGAATGAAGGTATAGAGTTTTACATATTTTTCTGTACTTTTTTTATGATACCTTTTACATAATCGTGAAAAAAATAACTATGGAGTTCATGCGATTCCCTCAGTTTGTGTTTGTTACCTTGATTATATCATCATATTTGATTTGCGAGAAATGAACATTAATAGACCAGTTGACACATACAGTTTATATATCCCAACTCGTTCGTTATGCCCGTGTGTGTAGTGATGTCATAGATTTTAACAAACGTAATCAATGCATCACTGGTAAATTATTAAGTCATGATTTCGTTACCATATATTACTTAAAACATTTACTAATTTTAAAATTCTTTCATAGATACAAATATTTGATTAGTAAATTTGGTTGTACCTGTAGAAAACTTATTAAAAACGGTATTTCACATCCTAAATTTTACGGTAATATTGTACTAAAAGCTCGGAAATAACTATGTGATCCGTGTAAACTCATCGAACCTTTAAACAAACTTATAAGTAAAGGTTTTTCTTATTAATGTTGTAATAAGATCTTTGAATATTGTTTACATTGGCACTAACATCCATTTTGTCATCAACAAATTAAAACATAACTAAATTTGTATTCTTTTCGAGTGTTTTTTTTGGATGTATAAATACACATCCACGTTAATGTTCTATATAGAAATTGCTTTATATATATATAACATGATACATATTTATAATAAGGTAAAATCCTAACAATCCTACTGCCTATCAATACTTTTATTTTGGCATTGCACAAGTCATGTCTTCTTTGACTATTCATGGCGTTAAAACACTAAATCCCTGGGGTATGTTTTAATAGATTTTAGTCTCTGATGCATGATTTCTTATTGTTAATTTTTTTTGGCTTTTAACTAGCTTTCAGTAACTGCGAGTACTCTCAAATCGTTCTTTCGTGTTAATTTGACCTGTTGACATTATTTGTAATGCATTTCTGTAATTCAATGTTTACTTATTTTGTGTTATATCTCGTCTCACTATTCTAAATATATACCACCTTTGATAAGTATTTAGTATGACGATAAATTTTCACTTCTGTACTCGTACTCTGAACAATAAATTTATTAATTTTGTAAAAAATGTTTAATTCCGTACTCCTAACAACAAAATAAGTATATTTAAATTTACCTGTGTATATTGTTTTATTTAACGCCATTTTGTCACAGCTTACATCTTTTTTATTACTACCTGTAACGTCTATGTTATATAGGCACCTACGTTTTAATATTGTATTTATATTGTGTCATAGATCAAACTTATATGTTCGCTGTTTGTTTACTTGTTTTTGTTTAAATGTCTTTTTAATCGAGTTAAGCCTTTTCAATTGATATTTTATAATGTATCATTTTATGTTGTAATGTTACACTACTGTCTCAGGTTAGGGTGAATGTTGGCCCTGTTAAAACGTTTAAACCCGCTGCATTTTTATGCACCTGTCCTAAGTCAGGAGCCTATTGTTCAGTGGTTGCCGTTTGTTGGTGTGGTTCATAGCTGTTTCTCGTTTCTCGTTTTTTATATAGATTAGACCGTTGGTTTTCCTGTTTGAATTGTTTTACACTAGTCATTTTGGAGCCTTTTATAGCTTGCTGTTATGTGTGAGCCAAAGATCCGTGTTGAAGGCCGTACTTTGACCTATAATTGTTAGCTTTTTATACATTGTGACTTGGATGGAGAGTTTTCTTATTGGCACTCATACAACATTTTCTTATTTATATTGAGAATCGATTAATAAAAATTATCAGTTGCTGAATACCGTATGCTGAACTCTAGATATATTTTGGATTTGTTGGCGTTTTGTTGATGTCTAATTGAAGCACTTTTTATTCATTAAGAACATAATGTACTAATATCTTAGCAAACAAAACATACCTTAGATTTTTAAATACTCATTTAAACCATAAAACGAAAATGCTTCCTGTTTTTAATTTTCTATTTTTGTTTTATGTGTTTACCTTGTCTTAGCATAACATTCCTCTTGCAATATACAAGAAAAAAAATTTCTAAAGCATTTAACTTTGTGTGTGTGTGTGTGTGTTTTCTTTTGAAGTGCATCTTCTTACTGAATTTTGATCTTTGACTAGTTTTTCATTAAAAATGAGGATGAGTTAAGAAGATAAAATGACAATATAATGAAATCTCTTGATTCTTATTCAAATAAATGTATGAATACTGTGAATATTAGAATATCACATTTTGAAAATAATTTAAAAATAAATAAAATAATATATATATATAAAAATAAGGAGATGTGGTATGATTGCCAATGAGACAACTATCCACCAAAGTTCAAATGAAGTGGATTTAAGCAATTATAGGCACCGTACGGCCTTCAGCAATGAGAAAAAACCAATACCGTATGGTCGTCTATAAACGGCCCCGACATGAAAAATATAAAACAATTCAATTGAGAAAACTAATGGCCTAATTTACTACAAAACAATTTACGAAAAACAAATATGACAGATATGAACCAACTGCAACCACTAAACTACAGGCTCCTGACTTGGGACAGGCACATAAAGAATGTGGCGGGGTTAAACATGTTTGTGAGCGCTCAACCCTCCCCTAACCTGGGACAGTGGTGTAACAGTACAATATAAGAACAAACTATAAAAATCAGTTGAAAAAGTCTTAACTCATCAGATGGATACAAATAAAAATACATCGAACAAAAACACAGAGTGGACGTGGATGGGTACTTATACATCCCATAAACAAAAAGACACTGAATACAGATCTGATAGTACTCGCAGTTACTGACATCTAGTTCAAAGCCAATAACAACTAATAAAAAAAATCATTTATCTAAGACTAAAATATCAATAATTTTACATCCAACATCCAATGGATTTAGTGTAAAGATGTCATTAACAATCAGAGAAAAACTCGACCTTGTGCAATGCCAAACTATAGGTATCGACAGATTGTAGTACCGTGAAAGTACATATGTGTAATATTTAGAATGGTTTTAATTAACTGATAACAAAAAAAATATTTATACCAATATTGTCTATATCTAGAATAAGAAACAAACTTTAAGTACTCGCAAAGCGGTTTGTGTTCGTACCGGCCTACAAAACAGCCAACAATGTGGTGGTGGTATGACATGAATACTACACGGACGTTTTCAAGGATGAAATTATAAATTCTTCTACATTCAGGGCCGTGCGCTACACAAATATTCATATAGTATACAATCATAAAATTACCACATCTCAGCTTAAGGCCTCTTCTGAACCTTTGACGGTTCCTTATGAAAAGGTTACCTAAATTTCACACAATCTTATCAAATAAAAGTTTCAATTTTAAATTAGGTTGTCTTTTGAAAAATCTTATTGCAAATTTATTTGCTGCAACTCATCTAAAGCCTTGAAAAATGAGAAAGGTAAATATGCTAGATATACATACTGGAGGTGTGATGAAATGACCTTAGCCGTAAACTTTTTCCTTGACAACTTTAATGTGCGTTTCGGCAATAAAGTGTATCAACAGGTTGTAGGTATTACTATGGGCACCAATCGCGCCCTTCAATAACAGAAGTATTCCTGTACTGGTATTAATCACAATGTATGGCCAAACTCAATAAAGACCTGTCTTAATACCATTTAATTGATAAATTCAACAACACTTACCGTTATCTTGATGATATTTTTTTCGTTAATTAATCAAGAATATTCTAAATATACTGCCGTCATTTACCCAAAGGAACTTACTAAAATTCAATATAAACAAACATAACTGTCTTAACCTAGATTTAGATATATTGCACTTTTACACGGGAAACACCATAAAAATACTAAGAAAAAACGGACAATTGTTCGTTCCCAATTGTTAATTCTCCTTTTTTATTTGGAACCATCTTACGATGTTTATATATCCCATCTAGTTCGTTATGTCCGTGTCTATAGTGACGTTTTGGATTTCAATGAACGTAAGCTATGTTTTACTGGTAAATTACTAAGTCAAAGATTTCGTTACCACACATTACTTAAAATCTTTGCTAAATTCTTTCATAGATAAAAAGACAAAGATCTGGTTTCAAAGTTTTGCTGTAATTTTAGAATACTTACTACAAATGGGATAGCACATCCTAATTTAAACGGTGATGTTTTAACCGAGCCCTTAAATGGACAAGATCCGGGTAAACTTACCGATCCTTTAAATAAACTAAAGGTTATAAATTCAAAGCTGTAATTAGATCTTTGAATAATCTTTTTTATCAGTATAAAATTTGATTTTGTTATCAATAAATAAAAGCCCACTAAATATTATTGTTATACACATATGTACATTCACGGTCAAACATTCAGTCGATACTTATATTGTGGCATTGTATAAGGTCATTTTTTTCTCGGACTATAAATGACATTTGTACACTAAATTCATTGGATGTTAGATATGTACTTATTGATATTTCAGTCTTAGATATGTAATTTTTTAAATATTTGTCAATCGCTTTGAACTAGCTTCCAGTAACTGCGATTACTAACATATCTGTACTTTCTGTCTTTTATGGTTATGCTAGATTTGTGTGTGGATGTTTAACCCGCCACATTCTGTGTGTGCCTGATTCAAGTAAGAAGCCTTTATTTCAACGGTTGTCCTTTTTTATGTATATTATATATCTTTTTCGTTTATTCTTTTGTATATTAGAAAAGAGAGGCGAAAGATACCAAAGGGATATTCAAATTCTTATGTCGAAAACAAACTGACAATCCAATGCAAAAAAGAAACAGGACGAAAAGACAAACAGTACAGAAAACACAACATATAATTCCAAAGACTGAGCAACACAAACCCCATCAAAACCGGAGGTGATTTCATGTGCCCCAGAAAGGTAAGCAGATCCTGCTCAACATGTGGCACTCATCATGTTGCTCATGAAAGTACAAACTCGGTGATCAGTCTAACTCGGTAGGTTATATTCGAGGAAAAGAGGACAATTAAAACATATCTGTCGTAATCTGTGAAACAGATTTTCTATATCGGCCAACCAACTCGTGATGGCAGTCGTATAATTTCGAAGGGATTATTTCAACTTTACAACTTGGAACTCTTTGTTCAAAACTTCCTTGTAAGCAGCAACCCTTTATCAAAAAATCATATTGAAAAATGCAAACTCTGGTATAATGTAATACCAGGGAGATATATACACCATAGGCAGGTGCTGCTGTAATTTATCTACATAGAAATAGAAAGTTCACAAAAGGAAAGCTGAAATCATCTCTTTTGTCATAAAGTTTTGTCTTCAACCAACCCCCATTGTCTATTTTTATATGTAAGTCAAGATATAAGGCAGATTTAACTGTATCTGTAGTATCCTTTATTTCAAGGTCGATGGGATAGATGCGTTCAGCATAGTCCAAAAAACTTTGAATTAATTAGTGAGAGAACATTATCTATATAGCGGAACGTGAAGTTAAAGGATAATGCCAATTTCTTTTCATTATTCATAAGAAGATACTGTATGACGTCAGCCTCATAGGAATAAAGGAACAAGTTGGTTCCCATGGAAATGCCGATTGTTTGTCACACACGAAAAAAAACGTCATCCAAACAAAACAAATATGTTGTAAATCAAGTCAGTTTCAGAAACTAAGATTGTATGAACTCTAACAGATCTTTTAAATTTTTAGGAATCCACCCTTGATTCATGCCGCCCGTAGAGCAGGTATTTTCACATTAACGTTAAGACCCTGCTTTGATTGCTGATGTCAATAATTTAGATAGAGGTTTCGTGGAGCACTTGGAAGACCCAGCAATATAACGTTGTTTGTTAGGACACTTATGTAATTTAAGTATCAAATACAATGAAGGAAGATCCAGTTCTTCGTCTTTAATTGAAATTTCAAAGAAACATATAACAGACCTATGATTATTCAGGATTGCATTCTTGGTAAGTGTCGTGGAGTTATATAAAAGAGAGGCGAAAGATACCAAAGGACGCAAAACACAACATATATGAATCGTCTATACCTAAGTACTTTATCAAGCAGTATATCAAATGTGATTTACATGATTGATTGTTGGTTGCCTCAATTTCAGTGGCAAACATTGCATGCATGTTCCGGACAAGAACAAATTAACAATAAATTAACAATAAATACAATAGGTAGGTCCTGTAATAGAGGTCGTACAGGATAAAGGTCGGAGAAGTTTAGACTACCACTGTAAAAATGAAGGTATATTGGATATGTAGAGACTTTAGGCCTTGCAACAGCCCACCCACGGGTCCCTCAACGGATTGTTGCAAGGATTCCTAATGTTCAGAGAGCGTGGCACTCTGTCTACCCGATGCATCGGATTTAACGTTTCCATTCTGACCGGACGTGACTGCATACTTTTACGCCCCACTTTGGGAAGTGTTTTACTGTCGGTCAGAAGGAGACCACGAGTGACCACATTTCTATTCCCCAGTCACCTTTTAGGGGATATGATTTACAAACAAAAACGTTGTTTGGGGCTTTATCTGCGGTGACAACAAAATATTTGTCATGGTGGTAGGACAGGTGCTGAGCAACATTTGGGTCTTCAAAGATCGATGTAGTATGTGTATTCAAAGGCCCATTCAGTTTTTTAGTTTTAATTTGTATCATCGACCTCACATCCTTAACACATTCGGAAAGAGTATCTACGTCTCCTTTTTCGCGTTAAGCCTATTGTCTGGCATTATCCTCGACTGAATCCATCAGTATTTTATAGTTGTGTTTCCAATTAATGGATTTAGACTCACGATATATAGGGCCTTTGGATAATACATTTCGTCGAGAGGTGGTATTGACAATGTTCATGTCGCCAGTAATAACGTGGCCAATAGGAATTTATATAAATGGGGAGCTAGCACAGATGCAATCAGGAGGTTTAGACTTGAAGTCGTCAAAATTGAGATCATACAACACGTGTTTGTAATTGAGAATTGAAGTTGCAATTGGTTTGGTATCGGTATAAGAGATGATAAGCACAGACTGGTCTTTAAAGTAGGGAGGACAGATCTATGATGAAGGATATTGGCATCGAGAACTTTGTTGACAAAGGAAAGTTTAAGACAGGATCTTTTTTCCTAATCATCTTTTCCAATGCAACCCGGTCTGAAAAGTCGGTGACTTGCAATATCCGAGATGATAGCTGTAAGTATGTATTGGTCTGAATGGAGTTTTGTAACAATGAATTCC